TTGAGTTTTCCTTCCACAGGGAAGAAGGCTGACCCTCATGGAAGGAGAAAAGAAGCAATGCTATTCCCCTCTGACCAGTCTTGGATGTGAGCCCCTTCTCAGTTTCTGGCATACTATATTCATTCTATATTCAAATGCTTATTGAGAGCTTCTATGATCCCATCATACTTTGATCCTCTAATGCTTATGGAGGAGAGGGGTGGGCAGACAGAATATTGTTTGGGGTGAGCTAGAAATAAGCTAAATTCAGACATACCCAAGGTTTCTCTTGGCAGATGGCATAAAGAAGAGTATGCTTACTATTCCTTAGACATCACTGAAATTTAACTCAGCCTGCCTGTCACAAGAAAGGAGTCAAGGAGCCTCATTTGTCATATGGGTTTACAAAAAGATAAAAAGATTTAGAGCTAGAAAGGATCTTAGAGGTCATTTGATTCAACTCCCATATATTTAAATAGTATTTTATTTTTTTCCAATTATATATAAAGAGAATTTTAACATTCATTTTTTTAAAATCTTGAGTTCCAAATTTTTCCCCTCCATCTCTTCCTTCCCCTCTTCCTAAAATGATAAGTAATTTGATGTAGGTTGTATATGTGCAACTACGTAAAACATATCTCCACATCGGTCCTGTTGCGAAAGAAGAATTAGACCAAAAGGAAAAAAAATGAAAAAAAGTAAAATAAAAACAGCATGCTTTGATCAGTATTCAGACTCCATCAGTTCTTTATCTGGATGTGGATACCATTTTCCCTCATGAGTCCTTTGGAATTGTCTTGGATCCCTATACTGCTGAGAAGAGCAAAGTCATTCATATCAACTCTCATATTTCACAGATGAAGAACCCAAGGTCCAGGGAGGAGAAGCAACAGCATAAAGCTAGCAGATCCAGGATTCAAATCCAGTTCCTCTGATTTCAAAGGCAGAGCTCTTGCCACTACATCATTTAGTAAATATATAATGCCTCTAAACCAAGTTTCCTTCCAAGAAGATAGACTAAATTCAAGGGCACAACTCATAAAATGAATGGGAAAAGCTATAGGCCATGTATTACAGTCACTCATAGCTCCCAGCACAGGGCCAAGCCTGAGTTGTTTTTTGGATTTATTTTTTTAGTTTGATGTACTTGCCAATTCTATTATCTAGTACTTCTTTATTTTTTAAAAAGGTCATGACATTTAGAATAACAAGGCTGGTGAATTAAATGTTCCTTTACATTTTTAATTTCTGACCATAATTTATCACTGAATATTATGTGAATGTGATTGAATGGGTGTGGAAAGGTTAATACAAACTGCTTTTAAATTGCAAGTTTGCAGAGTGCCATTTATACAATAGGCATTAAAGCAGAAGTTATGTCCTGGCTCCAGAGCTGGATTTACATTTTGCTAGGAGCCTTTGCAACATGTTGGGGTTTTTTTCCCCCACTGAGATATTACTGAGAGCAAAGAAGCAGCTTTTTTTTTCTCCTTTGCCTTTGCTTCTTCCCACGTTTGTGTTTGAATGTGTTTCACACATATAACTTCTAGTAAGTAATGGAATTAGACAATCATCTGTCAACATGATTTGTGTACCAGAGTCCAGCCCTCAGGTTGAAAACCCTATAAGAAAAAATACATTCATTTCCTAGTCTTTTCTGCTCTTCCAAACAACTCAAGTGAAGAGAAAGGGTTATTTGCTTAGGAGAGTATTTTCCTGGGGAAAACCAGCAGCACATTGTTCATTTTTGTCAGACCTTCCTGACTTGTAGGCCCCACTCCTATCTCCTGTTAGACCAAGAAGGGTTCCAATCTCTCCCTATCAATTCAACAAGTACTTAGAGGCTGGCCTTATCCAATCTTCATTTCTTTCTCCCTGGAAAATCCAACATGAAATGAAAATAATGAAATTAGTTCCCAGAGATATTCTTATCCTTTAGTCCTCATTAATCCCTAGGGAATGGAGGTCAAGGCAGGAACAACCTTGTAGAAACATTACCAGAAATTCTACAAATCCCACCACCTGAGAAAAAGAGTAAAAGACTCCTTCTAAAGCTCCTTCTGAGATACTCTTACAGGTCCATGCTACTCTTTTGTGTTCATTTATATGTTTTATATATATTTGTATTCATTTGCAACATTGCTGACTGGGCCAAGGACAAAGAAGCTTCATAGAACAATATATCTAGAAATGAAAGGGACCTGTGGGGCCATCTAGCTTCATCCCCTCATTTTCCAGATGACAAAATGCAGTTTCCTTATCTGTAAAATGAAGATAATAGCATCAACCTCTTAGGGTTGCTATGAGGATTAAATGAGATAATAATTACAAATGCTTAGCACAGTGCCTGGCACATAGGAAGCACTATATAAATGTTAGTTTTAAGATGAAGATGATGATGATGATGATAATGATGATGATAGAGGTAAAATTGCTTGCCCAAGGTCATACAGGCAGATGCCAGATGCAGGATTTGAATCCCCAAGTCCTCTGAATCCACAGCTAGTATTCTTTCCATTTTATCATAGTTTGACCCTCAGTGAAAGATAGACAGGGTTTTAGAGTAGGGAGGGGTGGAGGGAGGGGGAGATAAAAAATAAAGCTAAAATAAGATTCTAAAACCAAGTTCATCCACCACAAACTTTCACAAAATCCACAATTCCATTTGATTCCATTCAATCTGATTCCGTTCTATTTTCATATATAAAACACAAGGTGCTGGGTAGGCCGTGAATACAAAAATGAAAAAGATACAATCTTTTTCATCTTTGAACTTAAAATAACAAGGCAGAAATGTGTGTACCATGTAAGAACGATGCAGATACACAGGGAACTTAACAATAAACTTAAATTTTAATTGTAGAAGATGAAAATGAGGACAAGTAATTATAAATGAACAAAAAAGAGTTGCATGGGCCTGTAAGAATAGTTCAGAAGGAGCTTTAGCTGTCATTAAAAGCTAAAGACATCAAGAGGACTTTTTTTTAGTGAAGTTGGGGAAAAGAGGAAGATCCAAAAAAAAGGTATTGCTTAAGATAGATAGAGTGATAATAATGGATGATAGAGAGAAGGCTGAGCTGTTTTTGCTTCAGTTTTCTCAGCCAAAGGGAATGATCTTTGAACTGGAAAGGACAGAACAAAATTGGTCATTAAATGTTGAAGCCCAAGACAAGTGATAAAATGGAAAAGTGAGCACATAGCTGCCTCCAATAAGTTGAAGTTTTCAAGCTTGGGTAAACTATATCCCAGGATATTGAAAGAGCTAATGGTTATGATGGCTGAGCTACTGTCAGTGATCTTACAAAGATGGTAGAGGAAAGGAAAGAGAACACAGGACCAGAGAAAAGAAAACACTCCACTATTCAAAAGAGAAAAACCTCTAGAGTCTACTAACTACAGAGCACTAAGCCTGACTTCAATTATTGGCAAAATTCTAGATTCTACTGTGAACAAGTTGTTAGAAAGGGAAGCAGTGATCACCAAGAGCCAGTATGGCTTCCTGAAGAATATGTTGGACATGCAAGTATAAGAAAGTGACATTCATTACTTTTTACTCTATTCTAACATGTCAAGCTGTTATTTTGTGCTTTTAACATATAGCTACAGTGTAGCTATGCATATGTACACCTTCTGTCCATATCATCTCAAGCTTTTAGATGGACAAAATATATGATATGTAGCTTAGAAAAACACTGCAAATAGACAATGAGTTGAGCCCAAAATTGAACAGGAAGAGGCAACTGGTTTGTATACAGGATAATGTAGGGCTATATTAATGACCCCAAATTTCTCTTTGTACCCCCTCTTTTTAACACTAATATTCTACTGCTGCTATTATGTGGCTGCAAGTTATGGAACATTACAGTCTCAAAAGAATTGAAATTTAGTTTCACAGGCGGTGGAGTGAAACATGAAGGGTACAAGCAGGCTGCAATATGTAACAAATACATAGGTACAAAAAAGAGCAAATATTAAGGTTGTCGGCATAAAAATTTGACTGGTCCAGTGGTGAAATTGAGAGACAAATTTGAGGTTGCCCATGTGCTCTACTGGGATCATGAGTGAACCTCTTGTGGTGAACTTATAGGTGAACATGAATAAGAGGTAATGGAAAATCTACAATCTGTATGATTGGAGGGAATACCCACATTGATGACAGCAGAAATCTAGCTAAGAATTTGATTTATATATGTATATACATACTCACACAAATAATTTTTAAAATATGTGATGTCATCAGCATTATGCACAAAATAATTCATCACTTGATGGCTTATCTTTCATATAAATATATTGAAACTTAAAATGACCAGCTAAGCCTAAAAGAGCCCCAGTTCCATGAAACTGAAGCTATTGTTATAAGTTTTCAATAGAAAGGACTGAGAACCCCAATCCAGGAAGACAGTCTTACTTTCTTCAGAATGAAAATGCCCAAATTATCACAAAGACTTTCGCGGATGCCTGCCTTCTTGCTTTATAACTAAACGTCTATCCCCAGGAAGGGCTTCTTTCATCCCCATCATTCAACTTAGTGCTATAATGTCAAGCAGAATACATTAGTAATTGGCCAGACTCCACAATTATGGAATCACCTCAGTAGCTGTACAGAAATTTGGCCTTGAAAAGTTCAAAGAACCCAAGAGATAAGAGTTCAAGGAAGTCCTGCTCTCACCTGCAGCAGTCCCCTTCCTCCTTTCTGGGACACACCAGGCTCTACTGGCCAATGATTAGTTTTACCTCTACAAAAGTTGATTTCTCTCCTTTGCTAAACACAATTACCCTCATGAATTGTCAACATTTCATTTTCCTCTTAAGTCCTGTCCACTGCTATAGGCTATATTTGCATAGAAAAGTGCCTGAAGATGATGTGGAACTTTTAGCTAAAAAGCCTGCCTGCCAAGACAACTGTGTTCTGAATTCCGAATGTGCCTACTGTCTGAGCAGATGGCTAATGCTGACAAGCACCTGGACCTCCCAGACCTATCTCCCCATAAGAAATGTCCCCAAAGATCCAAACTTACTGTTCTTCTCTGCCTTGTGCTTGGGAGGTTCTGGCTCTGCGAGGCATGGACAGGGTCCCTCACACTGGGTCATGAAGCCTTTTCCAGAGGAACAGGCATGGAACTCCAGTTTGCACTGCAGAAAGAAAAGTTAGAGAGGCCTTCAGAATGCTGAGAGAATAGCTACATACATAAACCACTTGGCAAATGCACATTAAATAAGGAGGAACAAGTGTGAATTAGTAAAAAGGCATATTTGGCAAGAAATGTGGTTACATTTCTTCAAAATACAAGCATTTTCAGTAATTGCTTTTTTAAAAATGTCATCAGGAAAGAAAGGTTCCATAGATGCCAAAATAATTAGAACAAGACTTCCTGTGGAAGTAAAGAATTTGAAACAAAGTAGTAGCCCATTAATTGTGGAGTGGCTGAACAAATTGTGGTCTAGAAATATTAATAGATAATAGACACTGTAAGAAATAATAAAGATGAAAAATTTAGAGGAAGATGCTAAGACTTATATGAACTGATACAAAATGAAATAAACAGAGCTAGGAAACCAATGTGCAGAATGACTATAACAATGTAAAATGAATGAGTGATAAAAGGAACACTATAATGATAATAATCAAGCTTGGCCCCAGAGAAGAGTTGACATAACACATTCCCTTCCCCTTCACTACAGAGATGGGGGACTATGGATGTTGACTATTGCATATACTGTCAGATGTAGCTGATGTTTTGTTTTTTGCTGAACTATTTTTCAAAAAATCTACTACAAGGGCTCTTCAGTCACAAAGTGATGCAAAACAAAAGGTGTCAGTAAATTTCAAAATGTTTTTAGATATAATTTGTCCTACTTTAATAAAGAAATTAGACTTGATTATATTTGGCATATAAATTCTACAGAAGTGGTTGTTGCTAACAACAATTATCCCATTTTTCTTTTAAATTTTTTTAACAAAAGGTATTTTCTCTACTTTCCACTTCTCTTCCCCATTGAAAAGGGAAAAAAATAAAAGTTTTAACAAATACGCATAGTTAAGCAAAAATTCCCACATATTCTCCCACTTTGGGGGCAGCTAGTTGGCACAGTGGATAGAGTGTTGAGCCTAGAGTCAGGAAGACCTGAATTCAAAACCAATCTCAGAAAATTATACCTGTGTGACCTTGGGCAAGTTACTTCACTTCTGTCTCAATTTCCTTAACTGTAAATGAAGATAATAACAACACTCACTCCACTGGGTTTTTAAGGATAAAAATGAGATAGCATTTGTAAAGCACTTAATACAGTGCCTAGCACATGGTAAGCATTTAATAAATGCTTTCTCCTTTCTCAAGGAATTTAACACTTATCTTAAAATCTTCCTCTTCATCTTTATCCTTTGCCCAACATACATATGTCTTTTTGAATATCTTGCTATCTCTTTTCATTAACCTTCCCAATTCCCTTGACTTACATCTTCATTCCAATTTAATATATCCGCATATACTAGACCTTACCATCACCCATAACTGTTCTATCTCCATTACCTTGAAATCTGAAACTCTTCTCAATACTTATCACTTCTTTTCCTGTCATTTTTTCACTCTGTTCTCTTTCTCTTAAACTTATTATTTGCCCTCACCATGTTCATTTAGCCTCTTTAATATTTTCTGTTCTCTGAATTGATCTCTTCTGTTCTGACCTTACTTTCTTTTCTTTTCTTTTTTTTGCCTTGACACTGTAACTAACTAGTTCAACTATTATATTATTCTATCACAACTGACACCTCATTAAACCTAAACGCAACATCATCCACCTCCATTGTTTTCACATACGTGCTCCTAAATGCTACAGAAAGAATCCATGCTGCCTGGGTTCAATATCTCAATATCTATTAACAATTGGGTATCAGTCACCCTCACCTAACAGTTTTCCTTCCATTGGTATTTATGCCACCTCTTTCTCTTCTGATTATCTTATTATCTGTCTGATGGCTACTTCTCAGTTACCTTGCTGGAACAGAATCCCCATGTCCCACTCCTTACATGGATATCTTCCAAGGTTCTCTGTACTAGGATATTTCTCTTCTTTCTCTACCCTTTCTCTATTGATAAGCTCATCAGTTCCAATGGGTTAAATTATCATTTCTTTGAAGATCATTCCCAAATCCACCTATAAAGCCATAATCTCACACCCAATTTTATACTTGGATATTTACCTGGTATCTTAAACCAAGATGCTACTCATAATCTTTCCCTCAGACCCACTCTGCCTCTAAATTTCTTTATTTCTTTTGAAGCTAGCCCAGTTTTGTGGCCTTGAACTGATCTTTGAAACTACCCTCTTCTTCCTCCCTTACCCCACAGTTAATCAGTGGCCAAGTTCATAAGATCAGAGACTTGGAACTAAAAGAGACCTTAAAGGCCACTGAGTCTAGCACTCTCATATTGCAGATGAGGAAATAGAGGACCAAAGATTGTGACTTATCAAGAGTTACTTAGCTAGAAAGTGAGGCAGAATATGACATGAAGTCAGGAATTCTCAAAGAAAAATAATAGGTATAGCATGGGAGTAAGGACTGTGATTTCAATGAAATTGTGAAGGCTCAAGAGGTACCTTCTCTGCAATTGCCTAGAGGTTAAATGGGTTGTTTAGGGTCCCAGAGCTCATATTTTCAGAGATGGAACTTGAACCAGGTCTCCTTGACTTGGGGGCCAACTTTTTATCCATATGACACATTAAATAGCAATGGAAAGGTCCAATTCACCAAGGATACATGGAAGGCAACTTGGTGTCATATAGAAAGACAACCTGGTCTCAAGAAGATCTGAGTTCAAATGCTACTTCTTGAAACTCACTGTTTTACTATGAGGAAGTCACTAACCTCTCTGACTCTCAATTTCTTCAGTACCATTCTAGTATCTTTGCCAAGAAAACCCCAAGTGGAATCACAAAGAGTCGGACGTGACTGAAAGGACCAAAATTATCTTACATCTCATTACTACTAGTAGTAGCAGCATGGATAGAGAGCCAGCCTTGGTACTGAGATTATCTGGTTCATGATTAGACCCTGACACACACTGACTATGTGATCCTGAGGCAGACACTTAGGTCACAGTGCAGTCAAACTCAAATAGACAAGAATCCCTTTGGCTGCATATTGACTTAGGAAACCACAAATTTGTATCCTATATGTCATATTGGGGTTTTTTTTAGATTATTTTGTTAAACATTTTTCAATTACATTTCAATCTGCTTGGCCCAGAGTTTGATATCTCTACTCTAGGCATTTCTCAAAGACTATAAATTGCAGAGAAGGCATTATCTATAGAGGAAGTTTCCTCCCTGCAAGTTCTCCATGCCACTGATTTCACAGGTTCAGTCCCTATCCCTGAAGGAAAAATTATTTATTATACTTTTTGGAAAAATTATTATACTGTTTCTCCAGCATTATGTGATCAAATGTTATCTAAACCCAGAATGTGGCTCCACCTTAGTAACTCTTTAGGAATGCTGCAGATGGCTACAAAGTATTTCCAAATCCCCCACATCCTGGATCCACCCAAAACTTTCCTGTTTTGGGCTACCACATCCAGGAACTCCTGAAGGTTCCACCCCAAGCTTCTGTTTTGGGTTACAATTACTCATATCTATTTCAATCTACCTTGCTTTCAGGTTGCCCTCTCATCAAAAGTGCTTAACCAGGCATACGGGTTCCTGTGTGGGGAAGCCTTTTGTCAAAATCCTATATAATGCAAACCTTCCAGAGCCTGGATGAAAGGGAGCCACACCTCCTTTTTGGTTCCCCTCCTCTACTAAATAACCTAATAAATTTATTTCTAGAACTATTTCAGATATTGGGGCCTGTTTTCGTGAACAACGTCCTCTATTTTCTTACTAAACTGTAAGTCACTTGTTTTAATTGCTATCTCTTCCAATACCTACCAATGCTCTACATGCAATAATGTTTAATAAACATATCTTGAATGAATAAATGAATGTGACCAAACTGAGATCCTGGTGTCATACTAGAACATGTTATAAACAGTATAATCCAGCCACTTTGTTTTATATTTGAGGAAGCTGAGGCCCAAGTTGATTAGATGAACCTCCAAAGAACTCAGAGGTAGTGGGAAGCAAAGCTTCATTTCCCACCCAGGTATTTTGGCTATGAATCCAGTGTTCTTTACACTATTTTGATTTTATGGATCAAATTAAAGCCTGAGGGTGGAATGTACACTTAACACAATCTAAATCAGTTCCAGGGAAATGGAGTACAGAAAGGTAGGTTGATTTATTAAACTATAATGAAATAATCTACCCTTCCCAAATCAGAATAAATTAAGGCAACTGGGCCAACACTTCCTACCTCTGTGACCTTGGTCAAGTCATATACCTTTCCTGAACTTCAGTTTGTTCATCTTTAAAATGAAGGGATTGAACTAGATCCTCGTTGAGTTCCTCTCAAGGTCTGTAATGGGGCTGTTGTAACAGGAGTGTAATGGTGTCTGACACACGTGCAGAGTGCCTTCTAAGGGCGTCTCTCCATGTGGAAGGGACGAGGAAGCTTGCTTCTGGGAGAGATGCAATGATATGTAACGGAAGTGTCTTGGAAGCATAAATGGACATTTGGTAACTGGCTCCAGTCAGCAAGATAAGGCTCATTGATCAGCACTGTGTTGTTGTTTAGTCATGTCAAACTCTTCACGATCTCATGGACCATAGCACGCCAATACTACTCTCCTTAGGGGTTTTCTAGGCAAAGATGCTGGAGTAGTTTGTCATTTCCTTCTGTGTTGGATCAAGGCAAAGAGAGGTTAAATGACTTGCTCAGATCACACAGCTAGTAAATGTCTGAGGCCAGATTTGTACTTAGGTATTCCTGACTCCAGGCCAGTGCTCTATCCATTGAGCCACCTAGCTGATTGGTGGTAGAGACATTCAAATTAGCTTTAGCCATATCCTTTTTTTTGGCCTCATTGACATCTCTTTCACTAATGGTGTCTTGCGAGACATAATGCTATAAAGGAAGAAGCTATAGAAACCTTGCCCCTGGTCCTTGGCCTCTGATTTGTTCTTTTGTGTTCTAGGTTAAGAGAATGAAGACTTAGTGACCTTGTAAGTTTCAAAAGTTGGTAGGATGTCTCAGC